TCGTTCATTTGTCTGCACTTGTCTGACTCTCACAGCGAGTGACAATGAATGGCATCATTTAAAAGATATGAATAAATCAGGGCCGTAAAAGAGATCCATTTCTGTACTGTTCATTGCAAAATAACTATTCGCCGTTGTGTGACATAGAAATAAGGACGGTAGGCTTTTGCACTGTAAGAAATTCATCAAAGGTATTGGGCTGTTGAGAAGTTAATTTCCTGAAAATTTTTTTGTAGATTTTACGACTTTTTAAAGAACACCGCAAAAGGCGAAGAAAGAAGTAGATAGAATATGAATCTTGACACGAGAATCAACAGACGCAAAGAGAAGAACCTTTTAGGATAGAATATTATCTTGTGGTTTGTAGACCCGTCGTTGGGATCCTTGAATACATGGTTCCAACAGTTGCAAATTTAATTATACATTTTGGCCTTCCATGTTATATTAAACAAGCAATTGAAATTTGGACCCTTCACAAAACGACAGAAAACCTACTAAACACATGGAAGAGAAAAGTTATCCGGTAAGAATACGGACCAAAAAAGGATAAATATATATTGAGGAATACGAACCAACCAAGAATTGTATGGACTATATCAGGATTACAGATTACTAGAAGCATATAGAGAGAATGCCAAATGACAGTGTGGGAGAAGAGGGTACATCACCAAAACCCCAGAGGAAAACGGCTCAAAGGCAGACCTAGGGGATGGATGATGTGGAAAAAGATCTACAGCAGCTAGGAATCCAAGCATGGAAAAGAAAAAACATCAGTTATGGCTGAGCGGAAGGATGTGGTGAGGCAGGGCAAAGCCCGACATGGGCCGTAGTTCCACATGGATGGATGGGTGTGATATTCAGCAACTCCATACCATGGATCTGAATAATTTAAGCGAAAAATGTGTGATTTTGTTACCAAACATCTGTACGTTTAAGGACAGTCCGTAAAAGCTTTGTGATGTCCGACACTGAAAATGAGATATTGGGAGCAATATGTTTTAAAGCGAACGTTTCGGGTTCTCTCCACTTCTATGGCTTGAAACTTGTAGGATCATGATGAGGAGAAGTTCAACACGTTCAGACTTCTATACAACAAGATAATTCCATATGGTAGTCTCAAGCATGAGTCAAACTAGCATTATTATAACATCCTATTCCATGGGATATTTAAAACAAAAATTGCGGCGTTAGGTCTATTTTAAGTGTGTCCGTAAATGTTTGGCTTATTAAAATGGTGTTGTTGTTTTTTTTTGTTTTTTTTTGAATTGGTGACCTTGATTGAGACATGGCGCCTCTCGGGATGTAGATGGTTTGAGAAGGGGCGCCTCACGGGATGTAGATGGCGTGGGAAGTGGCGCCTCACGGAATGTAGATGACGTGAGAAGTGGCGCCTCTCGGAATGAAGATGGTTTGAGAAGGGGCGCCTCACGGGATGTAGATGGTTTGAGAAGGGGCGCCTCGAGGGGTGTAGATGGTGTGGGAAGTGGCGCCTCGCGGGTTGTTGAGGACGTGAGAAGTGGCGCCTCTCGGAATGTAGATGGTTTGAGAAGGGGTGCCTCGTGGGATGTAGATGGCGTGAGAATGGGCGCGTGGACTGGGTGAAGATGGCGCGAGGAGTGGCGCGTGGACTGAGGGGAAAATGGCGTGAGAAAGAGTGCTTCACGGGTTGTAGATAATTTGGAGATTCTAGATGAACTCAAGAAAAAATGATTCCAGGAGGATTACCAACACCATTACAGTGTCTTCATTCGCTTGTGCCATTGGCAGATTCTTCTGTTGCGATCGCGCACCACAATAATGTTGACAATGCTAGAAACCGTAGCAAGTGCAAAAAAAAAAAATGAAAAAAAAAAAAAAAAAAAAAAAAAAAAAAAAAAAAAAAAAAAAAAAAAAAAAAAAAATTCTAAATTAAAGTGGATCAGGAATTATTAATTGAGATCATCGATGTCTGAGATTCGATTGAATGGATTGCCAACATCGTCATATGAACAAGACTTTTTGTATTACCCTTGGCGATGAAAAGCTCTGTAAAAATTCCCTTTTTCTTAGCTGCCAGATTACCGTCTGAAAATTATTGCTATTTAAATTATGCAGTCTATTTAAGAGTATGTAGCTCATTCAGGTCTGGTATTTGTTTTTTTTTCTTTTCGGAAATGTATTTTAACAATCATGAGATTAGCAACGGTCGAGTCATTAGGTTCAGGGTCATTCAACTGTTACAGCATATAATTATAATCATTTAGGAACCCAAGCGAGTAAATAGATACCCAATATGATCTGTCCCATGATAATGGCCAGAATGTCCAAGAAAGACCATGGCACGTCCCATGATTATGGCCAGCATGTCCAAGAAATACCATGAAGCGTCCCATGATTATGGCCAGTATGTCCAAGAAAGACCACGATGTGTCCCATGATAATAAGAAAGACCATGACGCGTCCCATGATTATGGCCAGTAAGTCGAAGAAAGACCATGATGTGCCCCGTGATTATGTCTAGTTAGTCCAAGAAAGTCCATGACGTGTCCCATGATTATATGTCCAGTAAGTCCAAGAATATAACGTGTCTTAATATATCATCGGCCGGGGAATATAACGTCCAAAGCCTCGCAAAATATAATTTTCCCCAAGGCCCCACACCCCCTCCCCCCAGCGACGCCCCTGTCATTTCCGTGAAACTAGCAGCTGCTACCCATTTTTTAACAACTCGGGACTTTTGTTTAAATCATCCGGGTTTTTTTTATATTTTTTATTTAAATCGACGTGGACTCTTGTTTAGATCTTTCAAAACTTCAATTAAATCAGAAACCAAATCAATAAATAGTAATCCCAGTCAATTAAGAAGCTTTTAAATTAGAAGTGGCCAATGAATGGCATTCAAAAGTTTGCGTCAAAAAAAAAATAAAAAAATCGATCACTCGGAAACTAGTTTTAATCCATCATTTGCAGCCATCTTGGCTTGGTGCTTTGCTTTAGCACAGTTCAGTCATTGGAACTCTGGCACATCACAATCATAAACACATTAGAGTCATTGGGCCATAACGTTTTTTCTTTTTTAAAATGTATATTCAGTGTGTTGTCAATCTTTGAATGTTCATTTATTTAGAATAAAACTACGTGTGATACCTTGTATAATATTATATTGGCACATCCCAAAAGATGGAGCTGGTTGCGATTGTATTGGCCAGGGGAAAAAAAGGGGGGGGGGGGCTTTTTAAGAGCGTCAGCTAAAGCCCCCTTACCATTTAGTTAGTATTTTGATTAAACCCCTGGTAGATATTCATATTTCGCATTGCCCCCGCATGTACCAGGTCACACAGTGATTCACCAAAACGCTACAAGATGACGGCACCACATATTTTAATGGCTCCTCGTCAAGAGTTAGATATTTTTCAGTCAATACACACTAACATCATTGAACTTATCTATGTACAAAATTATTATATATTTTTTTACACATTTTGTAAATATTTTTGTAAAGATTTCTGGTACCGCGCAACAGCTCCTCAGAAAAGAAATGTTGATTACTGATTAGAAAATCTTTCTTTCTGAGATGTGTGACGTTGTGCTTTATAGACGCCCCCAACAGCCCTAATAATTCTTTGACTTTTATATATATATAATAATATAATATGCTATCTTTTGCTTGCTTTAAAATTATATGTGGGTTTTTTTTTCTTTAATTTAGAAAACATTAATTTTTTTAGACAACAGTTTTTTTTTGTTTTTTAGGATTCTTTAATTACCGGTACGTGTTATTTTTTTGTTAAAGTTGAAAATTCAGACATTATTTTAAAATGTTAAAAATGCAGACGTTATTTTAAAATGTTAAAAATGCAGACGTTATTTTAAAATGTTAAAAATGCAGACGTTATTTTAAAATGTCAAAAATGCAGACGTTATTTTAAAATGTTAAAAATGCAGACGTTATTTTAAAATGTTAAAAATGCAGACGTTATTTTAAAATGTTAAAAATGGGCACGGTCATGGATTTATAAACCTCATGAAATAAAAAAAACTCGACCCCGCTTCCCGCTTGGCTGGCTTGGGCCTCTACGCAAACCTGTTTCACCACCAGGTGCAATGGTCCTACTTGTTATCGGTGTCGAGACAGCTGTTGACACCGGCTGAAGATCTCTTCGACCCTCTGAAGTCATTTTCACAACACAAGAAAAAAAAAAGAAGATAAACACCACCCTCAAAACTATCCATGTTATTTTGAGAGGTTCTCATTCTGTGACAGCCGTAGGATTTTTTTTTTATTCGTCTAAGAAGCATTTTGTGAAATGAAAGTATAAAAAAAAATATATATATATTCGAAATGTCTTAAAACAAACAAAGATCTTAAGAGCTCATTGGTCAAATAACTCTAGTTATGAATTAAACACATTGAAATATTTTATGGGCCAAACAAAATCGTTACGGCATCACTGGTCTGATCTTTTCATAAACAACAAACAAAGAAATGGTTGAACCCAGGTGTTAAAAAAACACTCTATAATTATTTTTAATTACTGTAATGTTTAGCTTCTTTAATTTTAATCTCGTAATTCTTACATTGCTTATTCTGTGATTAAACAACACCCGAATCTTACCATTCAGTTTTAAACAATTTCAATTTTCATTCTCTCTCCATATATATTAGTAGAAGAAATGTTAGAATTTATGGCTAAACAAAGAGGAATACAAACACAAGAATTATTATTATTATTATTTTTAAATAATAAAAATGCTTCCTGTTCTAAGCCCTAAGCTACACTGACATAAATGAGACTCTCGAAGCCATACGTTTTTATTTCTATTTTTAATTTAAAGTATATGTTGTTCATTTTTTTTTTTTTTTATTGTCTGCCGAAGAAGGCGTCTCGCCGAAACGTCTTTTTAATTGTCATGTCTTTCTATTTACATGCAAAAAGCATGTCTTGTTCCGCTATTTATTCAATTCTCACAGCTTCAACACAGTTCCTAAATATATTATCTATATATCTTTTTTTTTTTAAATGAAGCATTGAGTTTTAATCTTCAAAATAAAAAAGCTTGAACATAATTTAAAACGCGTCATTAGCAAGTCTCATTAAGCTGATGGTTGTAAAACATGCTCTTTGGTCTATTAATGCACACCTATGACAACCTGATGGCACGCACGCTAAATTAATTACTGCATGCAGATTTGACTATTTCAAAAGGTCGTGCAATAATTGTGTAAGTACAGTATAAAACAATTAAGGTCATCAAGTGATGAGTGGATGGATGGACGGGGGTACACGACACCGTGATAAGGAAACGAGACCTGTATGTTGTCGCAGCACAAACCGTTTATTGTTTGAAACAAAACAAAAACAACCCAAAAAAAAAAAAAACTTACACAAAAAGATCCCGCTTTTGCGTTAACTTGGGCTTATCTTAGTCTTAGCCAGTTCTAATAATAATTATTATTTTGTGTGACTTTATAAATTATTATAAATGGTAAGTAAACGTTAAGTTATTTTTAGATTAGTATTTAATCATTTAAACATCAGCTTCATTAAAAAAAAAACACAACCAAAAACATTTTAAAATAAACATAATTAATTGAAACATTATAAAAGGAAATGGCGCTGAGGACAAAACCGTATGTTGGAAATGAAGCGTATGTGAAGAAGAGAGTAACTCCTGTAAATGTATATTCAGGGGAAAACGTTTAATAAAATACGGAGTCAAAGTAATTATACATGTAGGTTTATACCAGAAAGTAAAGAGACACATTTTGCAATCGACCGATATTCCAAACTTTTTAATCCTACACATTTTATTCGAACGGATGTTTTTATTGGGTTTTTTGTGTGTTTTCCAAGGCTAGTTTTCAAGCGGAGAATATCTCCCAAATGAACCAATATCAAGAATATCGCCCTATAAATCAATATCTAGAATATCGCCCAATTAACCAAGATCGAGCATATAGCTCTATTAACCAATATCGAGCATATCTCTTCGTTAACCAATATCGAGTATATCGCCCCAGTAAACAATATCGAGAATCGTGAATGGCACACTTTTATTTCTTTCTTTTTTTTTGAACAGTCGAATTCGTTCTAATTATTCCAAAACCTCAATCTGTAACATATCATCATGCCCAGTAGGGCCTACGCAGGTCCAAAAATATTAATATCCAAAGTTGTATTTAATTTCTTTATGACAGTTTATATATATATATATATATATATATATATATATATATATATATATATATATATATATATATATACAATGGATTGGTTGAACTATTCCGCAGTCAGCAACAGAACATACACTTAGAATTAAACAACCCTTGAGAACAAAGTTTTTAGTATAAATATATTTTTTATATCCATTTTATATAATTTTACTTGACATGAATATTGTAATGACCCACCCTATTTTACACCGCAGATTTATTTCACCAACGATTTCAGAAAATTAAATTAAATATTACGCACCAAACTCAGTTGTGAAATTTTGTTTACGAATCTTATTTAGCACAGTTATCGGGTATTTTGTTTCTTGAAATCTGTGACATCATAATTATCCTTCATCTTCCCCTTGAAAAAGATTTTAAAAATAGATTTTGGGGGGTTGGGGATAAAAATTTGATAGAATGCACTGTCATTAGCAACGAGTCTATGTTCCAAGTTTTAGCTCAATAGCTGGACGGGAAATGGGTCAATTTACCTTCCGAAGATTTCACCACACACCCAGAAAGAAAGAAATACTCGAGCAAATGTGAAGTTAATATAAAGGATTTAATAATAATAATAATGAACAAGCACGATCATTTTGATTTGACAGAGATTACATTGTTTATGTTGTAGCAAGAACTCGCTCTTTTTTAATCTTCGGGACGTTCCTATTATATTATTCTATGATGAACAATCAAAATAACTAAACATTGTGTTTCAATTTAAATTATGATATCTGATGTGTGACATTTTTATTTTAATGTATAAACGTTACTTTGATAGTCTTGATTGAACAATTTTCTGGTTAAGTTATGAAAGTCTTGGTGTTTAGACTTTTAAGCCAGTTAACTCGTGCACTTTAATTACCTGACAAAGCTGAACCTCCAATAAAATGTCGAGATATTAAGTTATTCGAGTGTTTATCACTGTACACTACTCATATAATGGGAGGGATAAGTTATACTCTGTCCGGGGGGGTGGGGGTATAGTCTGGCCTTGGTTATTTTGACCCCCAGCGTATAGTTTGGCCACGGGGCGTCTATCTCCAACCCTCATGCCCCCCTCCCTTTATCTTCGTTTTGGTCAATTCTGGCTGTGGTTATGCCAGTCATCACAGTCATGGTATTGGTTCCCAATGAATATTACTAAATACAGTATTTTACAGTTTAAAAAAACTGTTAGAACATTGTTGACTCTGCAATAATAATATTGATAACAATGAACGATTAAAATTTTGCTAATAGCACAATAATTCTTCACATTTTTCATTAGATAAATGAGACACAAACAATTTGTGTAAATAAAACAATATAAATTTAGCTTTACTTAAGGATACACAAAATACAAATTTAAATGTTTCGTCAAACGCCTTCGTCAATTCAACAACAAAAAATAAGAACATTAATATATGCATACATTTTAAAACAAAAATTGTGTCTCATTGATCTAGTGAAAAGCTTTATCGTTTATTATTTGTATTGTCCCCTCCCTCCCCCCCCCCCCTTTTTTTTTTTTTTTGCTTAGACGCCCTTGAGCTTACCCTGGGCTTAATGTGGACAGGTGTGCCCTCTGGCGTGTTACACCCGGAAATTGAGCTTTCGATTCTTGTCCAAGTCACCATGATTTTCTCTCTACTTCCAAGCATACTGCCCCATCCTCGCACAATTTATTTTTAAACACACATTAAAAATTTAACTTGTAATCTTTTTCAGTGGAATTTATATCTATATTTTTAATGCAACAGGTGAACATACCAAAGAGCAGAAGAACACACTGCAAAAAATGTAAGAAGCACACAGAGCACAAGACGACGCAGTACAAAAGGAGCAAAGAGCGTAAAACGGCAGCAGGTGACTACACTTTATTACGCGCTATTACACAAATGGTTATTGGTTCATCACAACAACTCGTCAGGTCAACAAATCAAAATTATAAATCTGGAAATCAGAAACTGCAGACAGCTTTTTTTTTCGTTCACTGAGAGGATTTCCCGGGAATTCGTGTGTTAAAATCGTGCATAATCCCAGAATCCCGTTCGAGAAACCCTAAATCTTGCCCAATATAATTCTGATAGGAGATCGACGGATGAATTTGCTGAAACAAAATTGTTAAAACTAGTACGGATCTGAAACAAATAATTATAACGAGACTTTAGAATAACTCTAAAAACGAAGATGACGATTTTGACGAAAGAAATGACCTTCTGAGCAAACAATAAAAGGAAAGTAATCCTTGTTTAAAAACGGATAACTTTAAACATCCATGTCATGAAATGCAATTTCTTTTAAATATAATTTATATCCATTTATGTTCCGAGCTATCCTATTACATTTCCTGGCAGGCCCCCACCCGCATGCCATGAAGGCATTTAGTATAGCATAAGTGTGAAGGAAAAAAATTAGTCTCAACAATTTAATGTTCCTTATTTTACTTCCACATGTGTGCATTTGAAGGGTATCCGAAGGCAGTAGTAATAAGTAATAATATCTGAATAAAACTGCCTCATGCAGTATGCCACTCTAGTAATACAATTCCAAATTAATATTTTTTTTCCGCCTCCAACCAGGTAAAAGGCGGTACGATCGAAAGAATTCTGGGTTTAAAGGGCAGACAAGACCAAAATTACGGAAGAAGGTTGGTAATGGTAGATTCGTATTTATTCCTATTATAAGATAAGACTCACACAACACCTTTAGATAATGTTCTATTTTAAAATGATAATAATTTTAGACATGCTATTTTAGTCTAACATAGCAAACAACAGCTTTTGATACGTCAAATGTATATGGTCCCAAAAGCACGACTAAATAAATACCTTGTTTTGTATATTATCTATTATCTTTTCAAATCAAAGGCCAAGACTTCGAAGAAAATAGTTCTCAAACTGGAATGTAAAGAATGTGGGATAAGAAAGCAGATTGCCATCAAACGATGCAAGCATCTACAACTCGGGGGTGATCGTAAGAGAAAGGTCAATAACGCTTTTGATAAAAATGTGTTCCGTATTTTTTTAAAACACACGAGGACTCATTTTTGCGTGCTTTTCCGTTACTAACTAACACACATATGGGTCTGAGATTACTCTCTTATGACCCCGGCTAGTAAATTGGCTATCAACTCCATCTGTTGAGCTGAGCCATACAACATTTTTCTCACAAAGGGTCCTCCAACCACCCTGGCATCCCCGGGAGATCTAGGGACATTCAGTCAACAGGTGCTCTAGAGTCTCCTGGGCCAGGCTGCAATTCCGGCTTTTTCGTTATTATATACTGTGATGGTTTGGCATTAGTTTTTTTAATGTTATTTCTAAACAAACTTCATCTACATTAATAGACTATATATGCGTGTCCCAATTACGCCTACAACCGTACTTAAATATCAGGCCTATACTTTATGAAGTCTATTTGCAATATAAAGCCATCATTTGTACTCTGATTAAATATGAATCAACACAGATAGTCTATTTGTGACTTCAAAAAATAATTTTAAAAACCTACACTATTTTTTTTCCAGGGAGAGGTTCTGACCTTCTAATCCATAGAATTGGCGCCTTGGCTTGTTATGGATCCCAAGAAATGTACCTTTGTGTAATTAATTTATTGGCTCTACGCCCAAATCGTTTCAGAGATGTTTCTGAAATAATAATGGTCCTCATTCACGGACTTTACTCATGGAAATAAAGAAGAAAAAAAATTTTCCAACACATCTATTGTTTGCCTTTTATTTGACCTTATTTGTTAATAATGTTTTAAAATTTGTATTGTAATATTAAAAAGTTACCCATCCACCCCTGCACACACATACACACACACACACACGCACACACGCAAATTAAATGAAAACATTGCTTTTAATATTGTTTAACTAATATTTTGACTTTATTATTATACTATTTTGATGTGAAGCCGATGACTAATTATTTACATTCCAAAAACCATTATGTTACGTATTGAAATGTATATAATTGAAAACAAAAATCTTTTCATACTTTATAAACATGACATAGGGGTCTACACTCATAGGCATAGATATAGTGTAGCAATTATTTCGGACCGGCATTTTGGTCCATTTTATAAAATTTATAGCTTATATTTCTGTGTATTCTGAATGCATTTTCGATTTCGTTAATTATGGGTGGAAAAAAAATCAAGAACACCCCCCCCCCAACTCCCCCCACCCCCAACACACACACATGGCGTGACAAACATTAGCTACTTAGCTGCCTGACCCGTTGAGAATGTGGTTATGTTTTAATTTGAAAAACACTAGGAAACATTTTAGTTTAGTCATGGTTTTTAGAAAATGTAGGCCTCAACTATTTATAAACATTTTCTTGAAATGCAATATCATATAGTGAAACAGGGTCTATTGAGATGATTTTATTTATTTATTTTTGCGGGGGTGTGGTGAACAAATGAATTGTAAATTATATGCTTAAATAAATTTAATAAAACTTGATAATTAACTGCTGATTTCTTATTAAAATATAAATATAAGTTAATACCTTAAAATATCGTACGCAATTATAGTTTTTAAGTCGTCTTGATTCCCTTTGTTATAGTTATACGGCTTCTTAAATTATTTAACCAAACTATTTATCATCTAGCCACATATTCTCTAAGTGTAAGAATATTTTAAAAAATTAAACATATTATTTAAAATTGTAAACTTTAGTTATTCATGAAACTTATATTTTTTAAGAATTCATATAAAATTCAAGCATTCAAACTTTCTAGCACTTCTTTAAGTACGGTAATTAGTATGGCCATCTTTGTTTGTAGAAATTTACATTATAAAAGTTAACTAGGTCTAGGTATACAAGATACACTTTGTGAATCTAATTGTTGATAAACAGCAGAGTTTGTAACTATTATACAGTAGGAAAAGAAAAAAAAAGTCATTTATTTTTAACTTAAATCTATTTTTGGTTTATTTAGACTTTAGTCTTTAGAAATATGGATACACAGAAAAAAATCCATCATCGTTATCTCTGTGGTGGACTTTCTAAATTAAAAGCTTCATCGGAGCACACTGATATCATACTTGTTGTCGAAGATTGTAGCTTCCCGTGCCATCGTACAGTTCTGGCAGCCATGTCTTCATACTTTTGTGCTATGTTCAGCTCCGGAATGAGAGAAAGTAACGACAAAATTATTACTTTAAAGGGAATTGCACCTACGCACTTTGAAAAAGTGCTTGATTTCCTCTACACTGGAGAAATTGAGCTGAGTTATGATTCAGTAGTAGATATCCTACAGATTTCATCCATGTATCAGATTCAAGCTTTGCAACTAATTTGTGAAAAATATCTTGCTAAAGACCTTTGTGTTCAGAACTGTATCATAAATTGGAAACTATCCACTTCTTATAACTGTCAATATTTGGAAGAGAAATCATTTTGGCAAATGACTGAAAATTTCCCTGAACTAAGAAATTCAAACGATTTCTTAGAACTGAACACAGATGAATTGATAAAATTCATTGATGCAGAATATTTGAATGTAGATAAAGAAGAAGAAGTTTTGGAAATTGTTAAAGTCTGGTTAGATCATGATTTAGAGCGAGCTGAAAGTAATTTCATGGAGATTTTAAAATATCTCCGTTTACCTTTAATGGATGCTAATGTTGTCAATCGTATTATGCATTCTTGCTTTTGTATAAGGTCTAACAAAGATTTTCAAGAGCATATTCAAAAAGTTATGAAAGCCAACCAAAATTCACCCATTGCAGGAATAGAAATACATCAGAGTATATTTAAGCCCAGAAAAGAGCATGCTTTAGTCATGGTGGATGGCCGAAGACAGGAGGTTTGCTGCTTCACATTACATACAAAGAAACTTTACTTCCTAGCTAAATTTCCTTACTTTTCCAATTCTAAAGCTGCATGTGTACATCGTGAGGACATTTACGTGTCTGGGGGATCAGACCAGCCAAGAAAAATGGTCAGATTCACTACAGAACAAAACAAATGGGAGAACTGCTGTGATCTGCTAGAGTCTCGTTACTTTCATGCTATGATTTCCGTTGGAGACTATATATTTATACTTGGGGGCTACAGCAAGATTTCATCCAGTAATCCAACAGGTGTTGAAAAATATGATCCTTTGACAAATGTGATGACGACTGTTGGTGAAATCCCACACCCAGCCGGTAAAATGTCCGCAACTGCTGTTGGTGAAATCATTTACATGTTCGGTGGGAGCGAGGATCGTTTTGACTATCTTGATAATGACATGTTATTTAAACCCACAGTTTTTCAATACTTCAACACTCAAACCAATGTGGCTTGTTTGCTTGGATCTTCCCCATCCATCACTGTAGGAAGCCAGGCTCTGACTGTTGATGACAATGTTTACATCTTCAGTCCAAATGGGAATGTATTGATCTTATCAGATGAGAAAACACCTACCATTGTCCATGTTCTCAAGACTTTTGATCAAAAACATTTTAGGGTTGTCTATCATCATGGTCACTTCTTCATGCTGCAGCTTGCTGCACCAAAGTTTCAGGATGAAGTTCTTGTATTGTCGTGGAATCCAGACACAAAAGAGGAGTACATTGTGCTGTGGGACAAGTTGCCAAGAACACTTTTGGATTCTCATTGGATGAAAGTTGCCATTGGAAAACAACATTTGCGATATGAATGCAACAGAAGATAAATTAGTGCCACATTTTGTATTGTTTAATTTGTGTAACTTTTTTTTTTTTTAAATTGATAATGTATAAATTCAATATTTATTTTTGTAGTACTCAAACAGTTAAAGCAATGCTCTCTTCCTAAACTTTACGCTTCATTGTTTAAAATTAATTTTCAGAGAGTTCATATTATGCAGTTTAGGTCAAAATCTGACTGCACACAAAAATATATAACAAGTAAAGGGAAACTAGTAAACAAAATAAGATGAAAAGAATTTTGTAGATGCAATAACATTAATTCTTGGACATAAAGATCACAAAAATGTGGTGGTTATATTAAATGTTTCAGGCCCCATCTTATGATATGAGAATAAAAGCTACTTTTCCATCTTATTTACCAGTACCACACAGTTTGGAGTGATAGGTAACAGAGAGCACATCAATACATATATTTTGATTTTGTAAACAATTTCCTTCTTGTGAGCTGTTAATGAAGGCACCAATCTCAAATACTACAATTTGCTTGGAAAATGAAATCACTGCATTACATTTAAATTCACCCTATCACCTTGGAGATATTTATCATGATTTGTTCATCCAAAAAGACTACAAGTGGACCTTAATCAAATAACATTTTGCACTGACTGCTTGAACTAAGTTTAATTACTGGTATTTAATCTTATATGTCTCATCTTTATTAAGAACATTTTTATGTTATTTTTTTCCCCAATTTTATTTATAGCGGTCATTCAATGATTCATTGAATTACTGGTACCAGTTATATGCTTATAAGAGTATTTTCTATCCTACCTCTATTTTCATACTAAACTTAATAATTTTTCAGCACAATACATAACAGTATTTTTTTGGTCAATATTATTTAAATGGCATTAGCTAGTTTCAATTACCCATTGTGCAATATTTTGTTTCTTTGCAGAAAGAATTTCAGAACTGAACAAATTTTAAAACAACTGTGTGTAACACTTTCTATTGACTAAAACCCCCGTTTTAAAAAAAAATATTTCTTAATGGTGAACTTCACTTGAGATTTAATCACAAACACTTTTAGAAATAATTCTCAGGGAAATATGCTACATTAATCATTAATGGATTTTATTTTTTTGTTTTTATGCTTCCCTCTGATAGGCAGCCTTTTATCTGAGAAGAAAAATATCTGACTTTATAACTTATATGCTTCATTTATCATTCATAGCATGCAAAAAATATTTTTATAATTCTTCATCTAAAAAATAAACTTTCTTCTGAATTCTAGTATGTTCTGGGAGCTTTTCTTTGCTGAGTTACGAAGATATTTTTTAAATTTTATTTAAAAGTATTTTAAACTTTAACTTTAATTTTTTTTCTTTTCTTTCTTTCTTTATTTTTTGTTAAAAATACAGTTAAACTTAAACATAAGAAGACACATTGCGCAAAAAAAAGAGAGCTCAATATTTATAACTTTTTGGTATCATTTAATAACTTGTACACCATGAAGATGTTTTCTAATGTTTACCTTGAGAGTGTTACTCATGACAAAAGAAAAATGTGTTTTTATTTAGTTTTTTTTTTTTTAAAGGTTAACTTTTAGTTGCATCCTAGGCAGTAGAAATGGGATCTGTGCAATAATCCACCTGCTCATTACTTTTACATTGTGTTCCTACGCAGTATTGTTTTTATACAAGCGTTTGAACACAAAATAAATTAATTCTAATTAAATTTTCCCTAAGGAAAGTGCATAATTTCATTGTTGTTCCTTTTTTGTTCTATTCCATGCAGAGTTGGGCAAATCTCATTAGTTATGCCAACTTGAGATTTTAGACTAAAATTTCAGTATTTGAAGATTCTGACCTCACTATAGTTCTCTCAGTCTCTGTTATTTTATAGCTTAGGTTGTTCTATTTATTTCAGTAAGAGAACAGCTAAAAGAATTTTATGGACATTTGGATATAGTCTATTGATAATTTGTAATAGTGGCAATATCATATAGTCAGTCACATCACATTTGAAGCCCTCCGATGTGCATAATTTTGAGTAAACAATGTCATTATTTTTAGTTTTCCCATCCGTTGCCATGAAACGATCACATTGAAAAGTCTCAAATAATTTACAAAAAACATTTCCATTTGTTTGGATCAATAAAATAATCTTATCTTATCTTATTCAGTAAAATACTTTGGGGTTTTAATGTTTATTGAGCAGCTGTATAACATTCTTTATGATCTGAAAATTGTTGTATTTTTTAATATGTGTTTGGAAGTGAATGACTAGAGTCTAACTTTGAAAAAAAAAAAAATCTTTAGAATATGAACGAGCTCAGCAGACACTTAACTTGTGAACAACAACTTTAAACAAGTAAAGTATATGTCGACCTCATTCATCTTAGGAAGATTTTTTTTTTTTACAGCAGCTCTAGCTTGATGAAGTTGGAATAAAAAAACAACAACTTATACTTATATTTTATATCTTAACAATGCTTTTTTAAATTATAAATATATCCATACGGTGTGAGTTAACTCTGCTTTGTGTTTTTGTGTCTAGCTTTAGTACATTTGTATACCTTAAATAATTTAATTCATCTAATAGCCTTAATAATTACACAATATTTTCTCCATGTTACTGGATAAAATTATAATGATCGGCTTACATAGCCTTGTTTACATATTAATGTCACATTATTTACAGTACAAATTAATCGGTATTAAATAACGTGTATTAATTAACCCATAAATGATGAGAAATTACTGCACTGTTTTCAACTGAGAAAAAAAATCTGTGAAACCCTGAGGCCCGATTTTAATAACTCACATGATTTTTATATGTGCCTTGATGTGTGCATTTATATTTTGCAGTGCTCTGAAATGTTACCCTGTGATATTTTTGTAGTGTGGCAAATGTGATGAATTTTTACCATATTTTTTAATACTCATGCCCGGTATATTTGAAAGCATTGTTTGTGAAAAGAAACATGAACGTTAGGCTACATTTAACATCATTTTTATAACTGCTGCAAACTGTGACCTGTAACTGTGTTATCCTCAAGTTGACCCTGCAACCCCTTTCAAATGTGTTGAATATTTGAAACCATTCTACACATTATATAATATATAATAATAATACCAGTGGGCCTATAATCATATCATTATCATTCTTCACTGGTGATATTTTGTTAATTCCTAAACTACTGACATGTTTTAACTGGTTTTTATTGAGCATTAAGTAAACAAAACTTTTTAAAAAGTTCTATTACTTAAACATTTATTGGACACTCTGAAATAAGGGACTTCAACTTCAATAATAACACCCATCCCTTTACTAATTAATCAAACTGCAATTTTTGTGAGCCATCTGAATTCAACTCAAGTAGTAAGTGATCTAAGTGTGTTGCCAAAATTACTACAAGTAAGTGCTTTAAAAAAAAAAGAAATAATAATATTTTTACTCTATCTATCATAGTGTCCATTAATTACTTTTTTCATATGAGCCATTGTGAGCCATTTTAATTTCCACATTGTATGTGCTACTGCTTGACTGTGGCGATTAAAAAAAAATATATATTGCTCATCTCCTAAGTGTATTTTGTGTTGATGGTGTTTTTGTTTTTTTAAGTTTAATTTTACTTAACAGTAATAATGAATAGATGTTAAAGTTTATTGTTGTTTGTTTCTTTTTTGGTTTCCTTTTTTGTTTTGTTTTTTTTAAAAAATAAATTACTCTAAGACTTAAATAGGGATGTCAAACAAAATGTAAACATGGCGAGGACCAACCAACGGGATTCCATACAGAAATGTTCTAATGAGTTGTTGGTCTTTATTGTTTGGTTTTTTTTCATTTACATGTTCTCTAGTTTATCATCTAGTAAAATTTCCAGTCATGTATACATTTGGTTGCAAGTTTTTTTTGTTTTTTTGAAATATTCACCAAAGTTGATAAATACCAATATTAATAAATGGACTCTCTGATTACCCTTTCCACAAAAAAAAAAAAAAAAAAAAAATTTATTTTTTGTTTTTTTTTCATTTAAATTTTCTTTAGTTTATCATTTAGTAAAATTTTCATTTATTTATACTTTTGGTTGCAAGTTTTTTTTTTTTTTTTGAAATATTCACCAAAGTTGATAAATACCAATATTAATAAATGGACTCTCTGATTACCCTTCCCACAAAAAAAAAAAAAAAAGGCAACTAACAAACAAACTAACAAACAAAACCTTTTCCACCCACTTCTAATTTTGTTGAGACTGCTCAGTCTGTTCACTTCAGATAGCTGTTCATCTTTTGAATGATTGGAATAATAAACAATATTTTTATCGAGAATTTGAACGTTTCAAAGATAGATAACCTTAAATATTTAAGTAATTCTTTTTGAAATAGTCCTTCAAGAAAGTCCGAACTAGTTAATTATTAATTGATTACAATGACTTTATTTTTCTTGTTGTTATTCTGTTGTTTTTTAAAATTTTGTTTGTTAAATTTCTTTTCATCTTATTTGATAGGAGTGAAGAGGAGAAAAAAATCTGTGCGTGTGTGTGTGTGGGGGGTATATTTGAAATTACTGCCAATGTGATTTCATACAATGCGGTTGGAGTACATGTCTGAGTTGAAGATTCTTGATTAGTTTATTCACACTGTCTACTTGACACTGATTATTTCACACTGTCTTCTTCTCACTCTCTGCTTCACACTGTCTTCTTCTCACTCTCTGCTTCACACTGTCTTCTTCTCACTCTCTGCTTCACACTGTCTTCTTCTCACTCTCTGCTTCACACTGTCTTCTTCTCACTCTCTGCTTCACACTGTCTTCTTCTCACTCTCTGCTTCACACTGTCTTCTTCTCACTCTCTGCTTCACACTGTCTTCTTCTCACTCTCTGCTTCACACTGTCTTCTTCTCACTCTCTGCTTCACACTGTCTTCTTCTCACTCTCTGCTTCACACTGTCTTCTTCTCACTCTCTGCTTCACACTGTCTTCTTCTCACTCTCTGCTTCACACTGTCTTCTTCTCACTCTCTGCTTCACACTGTCTT